TTGAAAGCACATATCAGCATCAAAACATGTTTTTTTTCCACATCAAAATTTTAAATTTTACTTGTTTCATGCCTCTTCCATTGACCAGTGGAACTGTTGTAGGGAAAGAGGAAAGATGATAACACTGGGGTGGAGTGGGGATGGGGGTGGGGTTTAAATGTATGGTACTGAAAATTAAGTTGTTTTGTTGTTAAATATAATACAGATGTACTTTTGTTCATGTTCTATATTTCTTTCTATATATCATTTGATTATCATCCTTGAAAATTATTTATTATTAAATTTCTTTTTTTTTTTTACCGTACAAAGACTTGTGTATCCCCAGCTCTTTATATTAATTATTGCTTGGCTAAATTGCCCTCCCCCCTTTTTTTGTAGCTCTATTGATTGAAGACCAGAGGAATTATATGTGATCATAAGTTTTCTGTCTCTTCCATCTATCTGTAACCAATATTTCAAAATGCTATTCCCCCTACAGCTTTGGCCCTGAATTTCAATCAAACTTTATCATATGTTTAGGTACCCATCCAAGTCTTCTGTGACTCTTTTTCAGGGAAGGGTGTAAACATGGAGATTTTCAGTGAACAGTTGTCAAAAACATTAACTTGAAAGGCAGAGACATGAATATGCCACTGTTATAAATTTCGTATATTTTATTTGAAACTAACTTTCTGAGACCCTGAGAAGCAAGATGGAAACTTAATTTGTTCTTCTCAATATATTTAATGAGTGCCTTAATTGGTATATTTCAGAGATTTTCTCATCAGCACCAGTATAATTCAAATTTATGATGAATTGGAAAGGTAAACTTTGTGGTGTGAAAATAATGCAGTTTGCAAATATCATTGTCTGAATGTAAGTCAGTATAAAACATGACATTTCATGGATTTCTATGTATATCATTCTTTCTAAAATGAATAACTAATTGTTCTCATTATATATGCTACAGTAAAACCTGTTTACAGTGAACATTGCTAGAAGGGGCACCTGCTTATTCTGAAGTAAATATGATTCCTGTTAAAAAAAATATCAAATTATGAATTTTTTCCCATAATGTTCACTGTCACTAGGTTTTCTGATTTTGAAAATGTTACTGCTGTAAATGGTATCTAACGTTTGACATTATTATTTTGCTGAAGTAAAACCCATTTATTTATTAACTGGTGGTATCTCTGTCATGACTGGGAACTCACATGGTTGCTCTTTCATATATCTATATATACATGTATGCTTGAAAATTTGGAATTATTTTATTTTGAGTATTTTTAATATATATTTTAATAGTTCTAACACATTGTTATGCATTTTGCTAAGATTATATGTTCATTTTTAACCTAACAGTCTGGGAACCAGCAAACATATGAATGGATTAACAGTCTTCGTCTCATACAAAAAAATTTGTCTTACTCAGTGCTTTTCATTTACTAAAATGATTATGTAGAAGACTTTAGCATTAATGATGAATGACAACCCAAATCAATGTCATTTGGTTCTTCGAAAACACTCTGCATCTGTGTGAATTTAGTAATCTCTGGAGACTATTTTTGGCAAAAAAATTAGTGAAAGCACATTACAGATCTCAGTTATGTTGATTTAATCTCATTTGATCTCAATGTTATATATTTAGTCTCAGATCTCAGTATCATAGAATTACATGTAGTCTCTGATCTCAAGTCGTTTACATTAAGCAAGTTAAGATTTCTGTTGCAGTGCATAATTTGAGAAGTTTTCAAATATTAATTTCCAAATTCATGAATGTCACACTTTCTTGTTTACAATATAATCATGATTATATATTCTTAAAGTACAACCTTTGATTGAAATTTTATTGAATATATCTTTTAAATACACCATTTCCTTTCAATAACTTTGAAATCAAGGGTAAATTGAATGTGGGAGATTAGCATTGTGATTATTTGCCTGTTTGAATACAGAATTGTCAGTTTACAAATTGGTAGTTCAATAGTTTACATCCAATCTTTTGACAAACATTTCTAAAGAAACTACAGATTTTTAAGCTCTGTGGCTGTTTAAATACCATAACAGAAAGGATTAAGGTTTTCTTCAAAAAACCAGATAAATCGTAGAGGGCTAATAATTGGATGTTAAATGTATATGTCTAAAGAAACAGTGTTTGACAGAAAGCATAAGGTCATTAATTGCAAAAGTGTATCTTTGAATTACGTACATTGTACACTTTTTCTGGGTGTTTTTTTTTAAAAGTGTAGTGGAAATTTTTATGGTGCAGGTGTTTGAACACTTCCTTTCATTATTATTGATATAAAAACAAAAAGTGTGTTTGATAGAGATTTAAACACCTTTCCCTTTTCAATCACTTCCGTCAATATTTGGAGAAAGAATAAGGAATTCTTTACAAGACTGGATACTGGAATAAATATATCCCATTTAAATTGGTCAAGATTCTAAATTTGATTTATAATCTTGTATACAATAACTCTTCAACATGGACATGGTTTAATATTCTCCACGACATTTTAAACATTTCCAAAAATCTCTGGAGACACTGAAAAAATCTTAGATTTTTTGAAGAGTGAAAATTCGTATGACTAAAGTTTCTCTTTTTGAGTGATTGGAAAGTTTAAATTTATTCTTGGAGTGCCTTATTTAAGGGAAATAACCAGAAATGCCACAATTCTTCCGAGCACTCTCTGCCACGTTTCAAAATTTCTTCAAATCTTCACAGCATTCTCAACATGGTCCATCTAAATTTTACAGGCGGAAGGAAAGAGAACTCTCAGAGCAGGAAATAGTCCTGTGGCAAAAAGAAAACCAGAAGCAAATCAAAAGTACAGAAAAATCACGACAACGACAATACAAGCTAAAGCAAAAGGCAGCATCCAAAATCCAGAAGGCATGGAAAAAGTAAGTACATGTACATACATTGTAGTCAACTTCTTGTTAAGTCATGAAAAATTAGCAAATTAAAATATACCACTACAAGTTGATAAAAGTAAGCCTAGGGTTTTTTGAAACACTCCTTTGAAAGTTGAATTGAGGGGAGCTTTAATTATCTTAAGACTTTGTTATTTTTTTCTGTAAGGAGTTCACAAGTTTTAAGCCCAAAAGAAATATCATATTTTATTATCTATATCATTCTGAACAGTTTCCAATTGAATATGACGATACATTCACATTCTTTAAGTAAAGCATCTTTTGCAAGGCTGTTGGGAGCAGGGATTGCATCCCCTTTGATTAAAAAAAAAAACACACACCAAAAATCCAGGAAAATACCTTTATTTTTAAATAAACAAAATGAATTCATTATTCTTCTGTTTCAAATATAATACTGCAAGATTTTATTTATTTGATATTTGAAAAAAAATAATTTTTATAAATCCACCAGAGACTCGCTAAAATTTTATCTATATTTACAATTTAGTGGAGGGGTACCCCTCCCATATTCTCTCCTGCACCCCCATTTCCAAGAACCTGATGGGGACCCTGTTTTGGTACTGTTATGTGTAGTCTCACAAGCTTCAACTTTTGTAATAATATTAAATTTTACACTGAAAATGATTTCATGAAAAAAAATTTCACACCTTTAATAGACCAAAGGGAAATAAATCTTATTAAATAAAAGACAGTGCTGCCAATTTATTAAGGCTTGAATATATTCTTTACTTCCTTTAACCTGATCTAATCATAGTCCCCTAATGATTTAATAAAAAAAAGTTTGCTGAATGCTTGAGAAATCTGATTTTGTTTGATTTGTTATAAAAAAAATCTGTATAGATTATACTGAAATTGGTCTCCGTTTATGACCTTATTGGTATTGCCTGAGTGCAGCCTGCTATTTGCTGTTAAAATTACCTCTGTCAATGGAGACAGCAAGATTGAACTACATGTAGTTGACTATATACAATCATGTACTTTCCATTTATTGAGAATGTAGTGATATATGTTAATCAAACTATGATAACAGTTTTAAAAAAAAACAACAAAAAACAAAACAAAACAAATAGAATTAAAAAAAAATCAAGAGGTATATTTCAGGTAAAATCTAGTATCAACAGTTTTCTGTTAGTATCAAACTCAGAGGAACCTAATTATTTAAATCCTAGCATCAGAGGAATCCAAACATTTCATTAATTATTTTATAAACATCAGTTAAGTTTCTTTGCATGCTTTTTGTCATGCAATATAATGAGATCCCAACGTATATTGTTTTTGGATGGATTGTTAAGAAGAAGGCCTCGTCTGTTTCCTCCCTGTTACCTGTTCTCTACCTTTAGAATACCTGACCACTTACACACGTTTTACCTGTCAAAAATTTCAGGTTATAATCAGTATTTGTTCAAAATTTAAAGACTTCTTAGTTTCCAGTCATTTAATGCATCTCAATGGATGCCATTTATCAGAACTCATTGAGTAGTTGCCAAATACGTTTTTGAAGGAAAAAGGACCCCTTTATCTCATATGGCTGAAATTACAGGGTATTGAATGCTTGTACACACATACTGCATAATACCTAAGTAAAGTCCCCATTGAAAGTTTGAAACGAGAGATCTTCACGGCAAGTGTTTGATTTAATATACATCAGTTATGTGTAATATTCGGAATCTATGATCATGGCCATGGAAGATTATGGTAAGAAACTTGTTCAATTTCCTGCCTGGGTGACAAATTATGTAAGAACTGATGAAAAGAATGAGATAGGATTCTTTCATGTTGTGTATATATTCTGGATATTTGTTTTTTAAAAAGGGCAAAATATGGGTAGATGTTTTACTGTTGACTTTTATACTGATTAGAAAACCAGGGACAGTGGGTTAATTGTCTTGCTGTATTGTTTTCTATGAATAGTAAAATAAAATAGTGTCTGTATATTGAAAGTTTTTATGAATAGTTTAAATAAAGTCTGTATATTAGAAGCAGGGGTCAGGGGCTAATCTGATCTTATGAGGGAAAGGTACTAATAAGTTCCAATCCTTTAAAATTTCTCTGCAGGTATAATTGGAGAAAAAAATTCCCAACTAGAGTTCCCTTATGCCTCCAGCTGCTAGTTCCAAGCATAATAAAATTCTTGTTTTAGCTCAACTGTGCCTATAATGAACCAGAACATTCATAATTATGCATGACTGTACTTTTTTCTGACTTCTTTGTGACTAAAAATTGTGAATCTGCCTATTGCATAATATGTAAAAAAAAAAAAAAAGAGGAGACATAAATTTTTAACAATTTTACAAAATAAGTACAAAAACATGAGAGAACCATGGGCCATGAAGTTAACCTGAACTGCCTAATTTTGTTTCAGTATAATAATCTAAAATTTAAACACATTACTGTGGTCTTATACCAACCCTAAGATCTTAAAGTGCATGAAAATGGTTGTTTTTGAATCCCAATTCATATGCTTGTGCAGTGTGCACCAATTTTTTTTTTTTTTTTTTTTTTGAACACTATACCCAATATGGCTAGTAATAGCAAAACTTTAACAGCCTAATCACATTTTACTAGCCATTCCCCCCTCCCCCCCTTTGTTAAAAAGTGTGACAAATAGAACAAGCATTCTGAGAGAATTGCATTAGCAATACTAGTCCCCTACCGGCAAGTGTAATCTGGTTCCCGTTAAGAATTGAAAATGTCATAACTCCATCAAAAATCAATGAAGCGGAACGAAATGCAAACTTGATCTATAACTAATCAAGGTAAAGACACATACCAAAAATCAGCTCAATATCTGAAAGCGTTTAGAAGAAAATTGCGGAAAACCCTTAAAAATTGAAAAGGCCATAATTCCGTCAAAAACCAATGAAGCAGAATGAAATGCAGACTTGATCTGTAACTCATCAAGATACACTCACATACCAAAAATCAGCTCAATATCTGCAAGCGTTTAGGAAAAAGTGTGGAAAACCAAGTGGGACAGACAGACAGAGGGACAGCTAAACAGACAGACAGATGGACAGACTCAGAGGAAACCTATAGTCCCCTCCGGTTTCACCGGTAGGGGACTAATAACACAGTTTTATTTCAGTCCTTTAGATTTAATGTTCATTTTAATTCTTTGTCTCAACTTTTTTTTGAAAACCCTTCCCTTGTTCACATTCTTTAGCCATGCATTTAAACATAGCAACCTGGAACTACAAACTTTAAATAACAAAACCAAGCATGGACAAAAAGGAATCAACTACGGAAAAGAAAATCATCAAGAAAGAGTTATTAGATATTTTATCAAGTTTTTTTTTTTTCAGACAAAAATCTTATTAACATTTTTAGACGATACTGATATAAAGAAGATACATGCATATATCACCGAAAATCTAGATTTTAAAATTTAGATTGTAAACAGTATAAAAGGTAACCCATGTCAGCACTGTGGCTTGAATAGAAGCCATCTTGAATTCAAAGTCTGAGAACTTTTAAACTTGACAGGCTTTTTAAGAAAATATATTTGTAAGTTTTGTTAAAAATTGAAATCATGCATTTTTAAAACAAACATTTATCAGTAATATATGCAAAATATGGAAAATATGCATAAAAATGGCATAGAAATAAGCATAAATTATAACCACTTTTTGTAATAATCACTGCAAATGTCTTGATCACACACTATTAGCATTAAAACCAATTAGCTCTCATAGCCCTTTATTCAGTGTGAAATGCCCATTGAGGAAATAGACCAGTGTTATCAAAGTAAAAACCTGACCAGAATTTTACTCCAGGTAGATAACGCCCAACAAACACCTTAACGTCTGTTAGTTCATCAACATTTAGAAGGCAAATTCTCAATCCTGTAAGATTTACTTTCATTGATTTTATGTTTAAAATAGCTTCTTTTTTGAGATAAGGCTTTAGAAGGTAACACTATCAATTATTTTTATGGAAGCATCAAAGTATTAATTCTGATATTTTGTATAGATAAAAAGATTAGCTGTGTAATATATCAGTGCATGGTCTGTTTGTTTGGATGTCTGGTAATCAGGGTTATGATGTATAGCTGTAGTCGTTCAGAAAAAAAATTTTGAAGATCGGTACTGAGCAGTGTACATGTAATACATTTTGTCATAAACTTCAATGAAGTGACCGATTAATTTCTATCTTTATAGCTACAAAATGCGACAAGTTGGAATTCTGAAAGTGGCCAAACAATCCATAAGAACCATGAGGTTACGAGCGGGGGCTGAGGAATTCGAGAAGTCTATTGCTGCTCTGACTATTCAGCTAGCCTGGCGCAAATACTACAGGTAACAAATCTCTGTTAAGTTTATAACTGTACAACAGGTGATTTCTGAAGTTGCGCATGCCCAATATTTATGCCCCCCTTCGAAGAAGGGAGGGCATATTGCTTTGCTGCAGTCTGTCGGTAGGTCGGTTGGTCGGTCCACCAATAGTTTCCGTTCATTTTCTTCACAGAGGTTGCACATACTGGAATTAAATTTGGTATACAGATTTATCATAAGAATATCTAGGTCAGTTCTGATTTGGGTATGATCGAGCAATTTTGGACAGAGTTATGCCCCTTGGACTTAGAAAAATTCCAATTATTTGCAGTTTCCGTTCATTTTCTTCGCAGAGGTTGCCCATACTGAAATGAAATTTGGTATACAGATTTATCATAAAAATATCTAGGTCAAGTTCTGTTTTGGGTACGATTGAGCAATTTCGGACAGAGTTATGCCCCTTGGACTTAGAAAAGTGCCAATGATTTGGGGGAGGGGGACATAAGTGTTTCACAAACATCTCTTGTTTGTGGAGTTTTGTTGTGTACAGGCAAACTTGCAAAAAATAGAATTGTAGCAGATTTATTAATCCCAAATCTTTATATAATCAAAAATCAAAATATTTTTAATCAAAATTACCCACTACTTGGATTATATTGTTTGAACATGTGAATTGCTAAGAAAAAGGTGGTGAGAAATATTAGAAAATTAAATCTGTAAATACAACTGTGATGTTATGAATTTTGATCAGCTGATGCATGTGTAAATGTTTGAGGCAGTTAATTGAATGCTTACATTACGCAAACAATAATAATACTTTTAAATGTAAGTAGAAACATTGAGTAGAATTCCTTTATTAGATCTGAGGTGAAAAATGCCTAAGAATACAAATATCCATATTAAATGTATTGGCTCTGCTAACATGTTACCTGTATTACGTAAGGGTTAATGTACAAGTAGTGCTCCATTCCTAAGTAATGGAGCTGAGGCCCCGAAGGGGCCAAGGCCCATTGCTTTTAAGGAATGGAGCGCTATGAGTCTATTAACCCACGTAAAATCCACCTTTTTAAATGCTTGTGATTATTATTTGATAATATATAATAAAGAATATTTTTGAGATACACTGTAAATATACATTTAACATATTAGCAGTATTTAATATTTATATACAGAGAGAAAGTAAGGCGAAAAAAAGTGTACTAAAGTTATTTAAATCTGCTGTCATTCAACAGCATCGATAGCGTAGTGAGATGTGTATCAGACTCCGAAGGTGAAGGTACAGGGTTTGATTCTCATCAGTGCCATATTTATTTTCTTTACGTGTAAATAAACTTGTTAAAATTTTCTAAGTTCTTTCCTCAGTAGAGGTACGGAAAGGAGAATATGAACATAACTAATTCTGTTTTCAATGTAATTCACAACTTTCCATTCCTGAAAAATAATGGAGCGCTCAAACAAAAGAGTGACGTCAAAGGTGGATTTTACTTTATACTTAACAACCATTTAACCAGTATTTACTGTCACCTCAAATGAAATAAGAGATGGTTATTCCTTTAAAATTGTAAGAGCAGGTTACCAAGTTACCAAATGAATGAAATCAAAGGGAACTAACAGGTCTTCTCTCCAACTGTCTGACCATCTATATGAGTATCTGTATGTCAATCAGTATGTCCCATTTGCTTTTCTGGTCTTTTTTTCTAGATGCTTGCATATATCAGTCTGTCATTTTTGGTGTGTGAGTCTATCTTGATGAATTACAGACCAAATTCACATTTTTGCTCTGCTTTGTTGATTAATTTTTTTCATAAAAAGTCAAATTTGATCATAAAAAGTCAAATCTGGTTCAAATGTATTGGACAGTTTTGGAGATTTATAAAGAGAGCTCATTAAGTATGATATCATAATCATTTACATACAAACATATAATCACTATTTAAGCATGTCTTAGTTCTCTTGATTGCTCAAGAATGTAGAATCAGTGATACATGTATCATATGCACAGCTCTCTTTTCTTCCTCTGTAAAGCAGCGGGGTCATTTAAAGAGACCCATGTATGTCATTTTTAAACGGCTTTTGTTAAACTTCATCAACCTTTTAACTTCTTTCCACATTTTAATCTTTATACACATTAAAGTTGCATCCACTCTGAGGCAAGCCTTCCTACAGAGCCAATACATTGATCTGAAGGAGGAAAACTATTGATTATTATATCCATGATTTATTATGAATGACAAAAAAGATACATTAATGTCAGTTAGATGGATAGCATGATTCCTCTTGGCTGGATCTTGGTTTTTTAAAGTGAATTTTGAAATGGTAAGCTTATTTACATTGATTTAATTAATTTTAATCTGGATCTTAGGATTTCTGTGTTTTGAAGTTTGTTAAAATGTATAGAAAATTAAACTAGCAGAGCAAATTTGCTGTCAATGACAAAAATCATATCATGTACAGTAAAATATACTTATGAGCTAGCCAATTCCATTGACCTGTAGCTGCATGCATGAGACTGCTTCTTCTTACATCTTTTTGGTATTTCATTGCCTGTATCTATTTTCTTTTTATCCTATGAATAATTTGCTGTTTTCTGGAACTGGGTGCAGAAAATCTTACTTTTTTAAATATGTTCAAATTTAATAATATACCTGTGTTCACTATAAACATGAGTTTCTGTACTTTCATGTATCACATATATACAGTTAAACTTCAGTATCTTGAACACCTATATCTTGAATACAGTGGATATATGGAAGTGAATTGAAAGTCCCAACCACTTTTATGTATTTTAACCTTGAATCCTCTAATATCTTGAATTTTTTTCTTGGTACTATTCAAGTTCAAGACTATTTACAGTAAAACACTCTTATAATGAAGCACCAGGGATGGACGATTTTGCTTCATTATAAATGTAATTCGTTAATATATCCATTAATTATAATTTCACAATATATTTTAAAGCCACAGGGAATGAAAATCACTTCGCTGAAAGCGTCATTTCATTATAAGCATGTTTGTTATAAGTGCATATATATATATATTTGAACTTCGGTATCTCTAACGCCTATATCTTGAATACTATGGATATGTCAAAGTGGTTAATGTCCAAACCACATTATTCCTTTAGTATTTTCCCTTTATCTCGAATCCTCAGATATCTCAAAGTTTTTTCTAGGTAACATAGAGTTTGAGATAACAAGGATTGACTGTATGTGTATTTTTAGAATTTCAAAATCTTAAGGAGAAAAAAATTTTTTTATGCAGATATGCTTAATTAAGTAGTTCTGTTATTCAGGACTAAAAGCTATACAGTTTTTTGAAGATGATTCAACAGAGCGGGATCAGTTATTTTAAGTGGCAAACTTTGTCAAATGCTAAATAATGAATATAAATCCATTACTGTTGTTTATATACATTTATAATTGTGCTTTTACATTCACCAACAAACTTACTCAATGTTATTTCAATGAATCAATTTTTCCTCTCAGAAAAAGATCTATGATAAAAATGGCATTGATCATATATGGGAGTCTTAATAGGATTATGTGTGACTGCTTATTGGGTGCGCCTTAATTGATATCGATAAATTCATACTGCCATAATATAAATGCATTTGAAATAAAATCCTCAGCATATTATCAAATCAAAATTGATTTTTTAATAACATTGTAAGTGAAAACCGATATCTACAGGGTGGGCTAAAAGTTTTGGCATCAATTTTGAACAATTTATTTAAACCAAAAGTTATTAAAACCAAGTAAAGTTTTTTTTATCTGCATTGCGTTTCATTTAAGCTAAAACTGCTTTTTCCAATGTTCAATACAAGCAATTAGGCAGAAAATATTTGATCAAACAGTAAGGATTTCCTTTAAAAATGTTTTCTTTATTAATTATGTCTGTCTGCTTTCCTAAACTTTTGGGTTAAGACCATGAATGTTTAAAGGGCTAAATCTTCTATTGTTCCCATTTTAATCTCAAATCCATTGCAATACACTCTTTGTCTTCAAGTGAAAATCACACACACTTGGCAATACATTCTACAGCAAAATTCAAATCTGAATGTCGTTGAACAGTGCACGTTGCTATTGACAAATCAATTTCAGTGAGATATTCTTTTTTTATGAAAAGAGAGAAGGGTATATTGCAATGTTGTGTATTCATAATAGACATGAAAGAGAAAATATGATTTGAATTCATCAATTGTCATTTTTTAAAGGTAGGTGTTCAATTTTTGTACAAATTATACTTTTATTAAATACTATTGTGTAAAGTATAATATGCAGAGTTTTATGACATTCCCATTGTCATGAATCATTTGTGACCTTGAAAATATATGGCTTTGAAGTGATGAAAACAAACCTGTGATTAAATCTCTTATCGCATGAGCAGTATATTTACTTTATAAAGCAAATGAATTTTTTTATTCATATCATGTTGAAGATATCGAATAGTAAATAGAATCGAGAATTTCGTTGCTTTTATGAGATGGCGTTTATTTCAGTTGGTGTACATAATTTTCCTTTATCTCATCCCACCCCTTTCCCTTTCATTTCTCCTCTATTTAACAGTATTCCACAACCAGGAAGGGTATTGGATAGGCATCTCGCACCTAGATGCACTTGTCCAGACCCTAATCCATGTTACAATTTGATGTACTACCTTTTCTTGCACAGTATAACTGAATCAAACCTGGTTGATAAGTTTAAGGTCATCTACGTATTCTATGTTATGATTTTGAACCACAATCACTGTTTCAGTTTTACCTGCATCTGGGTAGTTTTTAGTCCCCTACCGGTGAAACCGAAGGGGACTATAGGTTTTTGCTATTGTTTATGAATTCATGCTTTAATTTCATTCCACATTTTTCATGAAGACTATTTTATTTGATTTTTCAGGCGGAAATTACTACGCCAACTACATCCCAATAAACGCCAGCTTCATATGTGGGATCCTGAAGTTATAGCCATGAAACAAAGAGCACTAGTCAAGTCAGTTTATGGTTAGTATCAAAGATTTCAAAATGTAAGACTTGAATTATTCTAAGGTATATGTCAGTCATTGATAAATCTCCAGCATCTGTTAAATTGTTATCAAACTTGTGACTATTATCTTCAATTTGGAATTGCTTCAATCATGATATTCTGAGTAGGTATTAAAATAACACTGTGTTTGCCTTGAAGTAATGTGTGTACTATACAAGGATTAAAGAGGCAATCTGCATTGATGCAATTTTCTTTGAATGAATATTAAAAACAAGGTGCCTTTGTCCCCATATGGCAGCTCATGGGCAAGATTAAAACTCCAAGGTCAAGGTGGTCAAAAATTTGGGTACCAAAGGAAAGATCTTGTCACAAGAAATACATAGGTGAAATAAGAAATCCCCAGCAACACCCATTTAAAAGTTATGGCTAGGGTTAAAGTTTTTTAAAAGTAGGTCAAACTCCAAGGTCAAGGTCATGAGGTAAAAAATGTTGGTACCCAAAAGGTCTGGTTGCAAGAAATACATGTATGAACTACGAAAGCCCTATCACCAGCTGTTCAAAAAGTTAAGGCCAAGGTTAAAGTTTTTCAAAAGTAGGCCAAACTCCAAGGTTAAAACGGTGGTGCCCAAAGACTGGTCTTGTCAAGGAAATACATGGCCGTAGGAACCGGGGGGGGGGGGGGGGGGGGGGCACGGGGGGGGGGCGTGCCCCCCCAATAATTTTGCCGATAGATAGATTACAACAGAAAACATAGCTGCTATATGCTTGTGCCCCCTCAATAAAAACGTCTGATGACCTTTTTTTTTTTTTTTTTTTTTTTTTTTCCTTGTCAAGAAATTTTTGGTAGTTAATAGTGCCCCCTCAACTGAAAATGTATGGCTGTGCCCCCCCAAACTGAAATTGCTTCCTACGGGACTGAAATGCACATATGAAATATGAAAAATCTAGCTCTAACTGTTCAAAAGATATGGCCAGATTTTAAAATAGGTCATACTCCAAAGTCAAGGTCAGGGGGTCAGAAATAGTGGTACCTCTCAAAAAGATCTCATCACAAGGAATATACATTTAAATATGAAAGCCCTAGTTAACGGTTCAAAAGTTAAGGGAAGGTTAAACTTTTGTGGACAAACAGATCAGCATGCAGACAGAGAGACCAAAAACTATATGCCCCAAAATCCCTGTTTAAGAAGGCATATCAAAGATATTAAATTTTTTATGAACAAGACAGAAAATGGGAGGGCTTTATATATTCAAAAAGTTGTTTATTTTACAGGAGAGAAAGTCAATGCAACATTTTGGCATCCACAGCAGAGGAAACAGACAAGGCCTTACTGGGCAAAGTGGATCCCCTCACCAGCTGGTTTGTATAGGAAGTTAATCCATATATTTAAATTCTGCACAGTATTGCTATATTCCCTGTTTTGGTCAGGGGCCAGGGGCTTATTCTGGAATTGCTGTGTCTGTGTAATGATCTGTATAGCTGTAGTATCACAAATATCCAAACCAAACTCACACTGGTGAATCTTTAATTGCTTCCTCTGATGCATGCATTGAGCATTGCAACTGCATCTAACCTACATTTACACTTGAGTACCTTTATTCAAGGTCAGCAACTGGCAACAGTTCTATTCGTGACTGTTGACAAGTGTGTCAAAACTAGACCTTTAAGCTTGGTCCATCCATGGATGCTAAGTCTGACACATATTTTAGTGGTGCATCTGACCTACGTTTTTAGCCTGACTGACTCTTATTATGGTCAGCTTGTAGTTCTTTTGCCAGCTTTATATCACATGGTATGCAAACAAGTCCTATCCATTGTCTGATGATGCAGCATCTGACATACATTTTAAGCTTGAGTATTCAGGTAAAGGAAAACAATATATCAGGTCTGTTTTCATCTGATTGTTGTGGAATGTAAACAAGACTTCCTCTACTGAAGCACTTGTATAGTTGTGTATGATTTGTACATTCTGTAGTTTAAAGCATGCCTTGGTATGAAAATGCCCCATGGAGATACATTGTATTAGTCTTGTGTATGTATCAAGTTTAATTATGAATCATTCCAGATGATGATTTAGACAGGAAGTAGAGGACTGGAACATGTTAAGCTTTGGACATTCATTATTGTTTCTTCACCACATATCACCTTGTTTCTCATGATTTATTCTGCTTTTTATGCCCCCGGATCAAAAGATCCCGGGGGTATATTGTTTCTGTCCTGTCTGTCTGTTTGTCTGTTTGTTTGTCTGTTTGTCTGTCTGTCTGTTGTCAACTTTAACCTTGCCCATAACTTTTGATTGGTTGGAGCTATGACTTTCATATTTCACATGTGTATTTCTTGTGACAAGACCTTTCTTTGGGTACCATCATATTTGACCTTTTGACCTTGACCTTGGAGTTTGACCCACTTTTGCAAAATTTTATGCGACTTTAACCTTGGCCATAACTTCTGAACAGTTGGAGCTTGGGGTTTCAAACTTCACATGTGTATTCTTTGTGACAAGGCCTTCTTTTGGATACCAACCACTTTGACCTTTTGACCTTGACCTTGGACTTTGACCTACTTTTGAAAAACTTTAACCTTGGCCATAACTTTTGAACAATTGGTGCTTAGGGTTTCAAACTTCACATGTGTATTCCTTGTGACAAGACCTTCCTCTGGATATCAACCACTTTGACCCTTTTGACCTTGACCTAGGAGTTTGACCTACTTTTGAAAAACTTTAAACTTGGCCATAATTTTTGAATGGTTGGAGCTAGGGCTTTCATACTTCACATATGTAATCCTTGTGACAAGACCTTCCTTTGAATACCAACGACTTTGACCTTGACCTAGGAGTTTGACCTACTTTTGAAAAACTTTAACCTTGGCCATAACTTTTGAATGGTTGATGCTAGGGCTTTCATACTTCACATATGTAATCCTTGTGACAAGACCTTCCTTTGGATACCAACCACTTTGACCCTTTGACCTTGACCTAGGAGTTTGACCTACTTTTGAAAAACTTTAACCTTGGCCATAACTTTTGAATGGTTGGTGCTAGGGCTTTCATACTTCACATATGTAATCCTTCTGACGAGATCTTCCTTTGGATACCAATCACTTTGACCTTGACCTTGACGTTTGACTTTTATTTAAAAAACTTTTACCTTCACCATAACTTTTGAACAGTTGTATCTAGGTCTTTCAAATTTCACAGGTGTTTTCCTCGAGACAAGATCTTTCTTTGGGTATCAACATTTTTTATCTTTTGGCCTGGATTTTGACTTGCATTTGAGAAACTTTAACCTTCGACATAAGCTGCCATACGGGGGCATAGTGTTTCACAAACACATCTTGTTTATTTCTTTACACAGCATTATCTTATAACTTTGCTGTTGATAACTATCATCCACTGGCCAAGAGAGGATTCCTTCCAACACCATTTCTTGATGATTCTGGGCATCCTAGAGATTTCGACTGGAAGCCAATGGAAGATGAAGATTTAGAAAGTAAGTAGTTTTGAATAATGAAACAGAAAATGAGATACAAAAAACATATTTTTGGATATTTCTATACTGGAGAAGTAGGAGAATAAATATTTTTTTAGTTTCATCAATATGAAAGGATGGCTTGATATTTGAAGTAATTTTCCTCAAGATGTTGCTTATGCATATAGGTTTACATTAGCATAAAAAAAATATATTCCTCCGTGAATTTTGAAAAATGAGCCAGATTTTTTTTTTTTTTTTTTTTTTTTGACAGTAAGTCATATGCAACTAAAAACAAATCATCATATTAAAAATTTACTGTGTAAAAGCAGGACTGTGATCTACAAGCTTGGCAAATTTTGGGTGATTTAAACAGTAGTACATGCACTTTTGATTATCAAACCAGTGTTGTTCTGAAAAAAAAAAAAAACAGATTGGGATTGATTTTTACAGCATTTGATTTTTGTTAAGAGATTAAAAATTACACCTTCATTAAAATTTCACCATCTAGAACAAATCAATGTCTATACATTCAGTTGCATCTGAAATTTTTAAGTACTGATCTTTAGGTTTTTGAAATGCTGGCAGCAGTCTCACAAAAGCATTGGCAATCACATACAAGTTATGTACTCATATCGCATGTTCAGAATAAAGTAGGTTTATTGTTGGTATTTTTTTTAGGAAACTTGAGAGATGTACGAATCAATGATAACCCATCAAGAAAATCCAGCAGGTACTCTTACAATTTCACACCATCCCGTGGGGCTGATGCAACTGACATGTCTGGCCTCAAAAAGAAACTTCAACAGATTGAAGATGAATAGACATTTCTTTGTTAAGTGAATATGAGAACTTTTGGATTATTTTGCTTCTAGTTTTATGCTTCATATTGGTATGGATTTTTAATCTGATAAAGTACACAAATGAAATTGTTTTTGAAAAAATGACTTAATTATTATCCTTAAAACTATATAAATGAGTTTTTTTATCGTAATTTTCAATTGTTATTTTATTTACATGCACATCAGTTTTTGTGCAAAAATGCTAGTCTGAAATTAATGTCTTACCCATTTTATTTCATATCATAGTAAATATGACATAAATTATATATCATGGTTTATTTCATGTAAGGGAGAGTAGATGTTAATAGTTTATACTTATAATGTCTAATTCTTCTCTGACAGTAATTAAAAGAATTTTGAAGATGTATTTTTCATGGCGAACATATTTAAATGTAGCAGACGTAAAAAAAGGAAAGTATGGCATGTTGACATTTTTGCATTTTCTGTTGAATATTAACTTTATATACATGTACTTATGTAATGCCTTTTGTCTTAGAGCTGTATCTTCCATAAAGTATGGAATTTTATGGATGTGTTCTGGAACACTTTTCCTGGATAAAGATCAATTTTGATATGGATTTTTGAATTCCGTCCGTTATTTATAAATCATGCAGAATAATATTTTGTGATTGACTGATACGTTCATTGCATAATTTTTTTTTAATGAAATTATTGTGTATGTACTTTAATACACTTTCATGCTACTAAACCAAAGTATTTTTATTTTTCGTAATGTAGCATTTTGTATTTCATTTTTAAAAAAGTGTGTTTTCTGATGTTGGTATGCATGCATGTACCACACTAACTCTTTAGTGATATATGATCTTAGATATTTGCACTACATAAAAAGACAACAGATTTCATTTTAAACTGTAGAACTGAGTGTATTGATTAAGTTTTTTTTTTCATAATAAAAAAAAATTGATAAAAGTATTTTTTTAGAGATAAAATTTATTGTAAATAAATGATTAATAATGATTAGCATATGGATTCACAGTTCATGTTTAGAGGAAATGATTATGTATTTTATAAATATTAAATTGTGAATTTGAAAGAAAACTATAAGGATATCTGGAGTTTTGTCCCTTGATGCTTATGGATTATGCTTGATAATCAGTAACTAATTCTTTTTTGAATTTTAATTTCTTATTACTTATGATGTCTGTGATACAGACACTGTATACAAAATTGTGATATATTTATTGTTGTTAATGAATGATTTGTAGGAATATGTTCTGTTATTTACATTATTAAAGAGATATAAATCACTTACATTGGACTTTTGATTATCTTTATTTACACTATAATCTTACAGGCATGCGGTATTGCCGTAATAAAAATACAGTTTTTCCTGAGATGGAGTATGACAATTAAATCACTTCATAATAATGGTGTTGTATGGAAAATGCATCTCTGATACAGCAATTAAATGAAAACTGTTGAAAATCATAATTGATCACGTCTCTGAAATCCAGAACTGTATATGTAAAATCATTTGGGCTTAGAACAAGGGTGACATTTTGATACACATTCTAATTTTAGTTACAGCTATGAAATCCTTACTTTTCCTCCAAAAAATGAACCATTCGTAGCTGTTGAGAGGGTTGCGCCCTCCTTTTCCATTTCTAAACCGTGTGCTACTGTTAATTTGGTATGAAAATGTTCATTGAAAGGCCGGTTGCCCACCCACCCATCACTACTTTTTGTATGGTCAAATCTTCCCAGTGTTCAATGGCCATTAAATTGATACTTACCCCCCCCCTTCCGGAAGTTTGGACAATTTTCCCTTTTTTGATCAATTAACACCCCCCTTTCAATAATGATGCTACTGCGTGCCTGCGATTACAACAGGTCGGTGGAGAAAAATGAAGAAAAATTTTCGGCTGCCTACGAAAGCTTGTTAGTATCAAATAAAAGAAAAATACGTCACACTTTCTCGTAATTTCACGATCTTTTCTTGTTCATAAGGTCAAGATCTGGTAAGTGAAAGGTGTCTTCAAATTTAAGAAATGAATTCATTTAAAGATGCTTAATAACTATAGCTTTGTAAAATAATGTACATCGGGACATAATTTTTAGGTCAAGATCTAGTAAATGAAAGGTGCCTTCAGATTTCTCAAATTTGAGAAACAAGTTCTTTCAATGATTCTTTACAAATATAGCTTGGTGAAATTAGGTGTATCTGGACATAATTTTTACAGGGGCGTAGCTGCCTATACGCAAATACGCAAGTGCGTACACATCATTTTCAAAAAAAAAAAAAAAAAAAAAAAAAAAAAGGAGAGAGGGGAGGGGGAGTATTCGAAGAAAAAATCTCCGTTCTGTACCATCCAACAAATATCTGTGTTTGTGTCATACTGTTTCGATTTGAATTTTATCACAATTATATAATAAAATTTGAATTCCTTATTGGATCATTGCCAAATCCAAATAAATCATCCAATAATTTTTAATTGTTCTTTAATACACTGATTATTTTTTTTTTAAAAGATCTTTTAGAAATTAAATTTCTAACACATCGTTGAATGTTCTGATCTACTAGTATATGATTTATATTACGATATTTTTTTTGTTAATAATTAACTTTTAGTATACGTGTTTTTGAACGTTAAAAAAGAGTATATGATACCAATATATCGGTTAAATATTAAGCCTAACTACATGTACAATAAGATTCCAAGGAAGTTTTAATTTTGCGTTAAAACAATAAATATTAATATAATGTCTTTTATTTTATAAACAAAAGCTAAATGACAATATTTATATTTTGCAAGAAAATGAATGAAATATTTGGTAAAACTCGGAGCTTCTGGGTCCTCACCAGCAGGCACGTAGTATAGGGGGCAGGGGGTGGCCTGCCCCTACTTATTTCCATACCTAACCTATTACTATTGAAAATGTTTATTGAAAGGGTGGTCCCCCCTTTTTGTTGTAGTACTCTAAACTGTCATTTTCAATGAAAAATGAAGGAAGTCAGGTATGAATATTGGATTTTTTTCATCTTAGAAAAAGGAAATGTATAAATATTGCCTACAATCTCGCAGAAAACAGTTTTTCATATTTTCTTGACCTCTTATTTAAAATGATATTAAATTGAATATAGGTAACGGGGTTACTTTTGACATTATTTCAAAATTGAATTCCATGAAAATTATTTCATAATTACAAGATAATGGAGCGTTATTATTATTATTGTTATTATTATTTTTTACTTCGTACCAATAGGCTTTTGTTGCTCTCTGAGCAGGGAAAGTAAAAAAAAAACATAATTTTTTTGACAAAGAAGAAATAAATAAAGGAAACAAACACAGCCGAGCCCGGGGAGGGGGGGGGGGGTTAGACTCGTACCGTGCATTTCTCGTTTCTTCATGTATGAAACTTACGAGGGCTCCCTGTTTTTTTCTTTTAAGGGATCCAAACTCGCTTTTCGGTTACTTAACCACTGGTTAGCTATAATAATTCTCCAGAAAGGGGGGCCCGGACCCCCTCCCCTCATCTGGATCCGTTAACCGTGCACCTGTTAACTGTGGATCATTCATTTAGCATGTTTAGTTCTAGGAGTTGCTCCCATCTCTAAATATCGTTCTTCTAATCAATTTTAGAAAGAGCTATGGAGCAATCTAAAGATCTAATGGTCTTTTAAAATATCGTGGATCTAGGATTTTTTCAAGGGGGAGGGGTCCACATCCACTAAAAAAAAATGTAATCTCCAAACCCGATTTCAAATCATATTTCATGGGTCGGGGCCATGTGCGGATCTAGAGGGGGTGGGGGTCCGGAGTTATTAAAAGAATATACTGAAGCAAATAAAAAAATGACTTTTGATCCCCCCCCCCCTTAGAAATCGTGGACCCACCATCACTACCACGAAATGGGTGTTTTTCACGTTTGAGAAATGGATTTTAGGTTTTGTTTGTTTGTTTTTGTTTTTGCAGGGACCTATATACTAAGTATATAGGTCCCTGGTTTTTGTTTTGTTTTGTTTTGCTTGTCAAGGTATTTTTGACCGAGATGGACCCCCCCCCCCCCCCCTGGAAAAAATTCCTGGATCCGCGCCTTCGGTCGGGGTGTGAACAAGTCGCTTAGCCTTAATACCGGGCATCTTCGCAAGCCAAGGGGGTTTTCGGTCCGCTTTGCTCTCAACAAGATTTGGCCAACATGGCCATAGGGGCTTGTCTTTCGGATTGTTAAAAATAAAATAAATTTTAAAAATTTTGAATCTTCTTTAAATACACTTAAAAGTTGTTAAAATAGAGATTCTGACACTTTCAGTCAAGAAAAACCATGTTTAAAAAAGACGTGTACCACATGCACCTATATACATAAACTCTACATAGAGTTTATGTATATACGTGTAGGTGTGGTGCGTATTTTTTAAACGTGGTTTTTCTTGACTGAAAGTGTCAGAATCTCTATTTTAACAACTTTTAAGTGTATTTAAAGAAGATTCAAAATTTTTAAAATTTATTTTATTTTTAACAATCCGGAAGACAAGCCCCTATGGATTTGGCTTGTGAAGAAGTTTACCGGGGGATTTAATTTTTTCTAGGAAGGGAGGGGGGATCCAAGGTCATTATTTGTTGCTTTCCTCTATAAATCAAACTCCGAAAATCCCTTCGGGCGGACTCCTACCCCTCCCCCCTTCTAGATCCGCGCATGTATTTCTCCCTCTGCTCCGGAATTCCATATCCTTTTCATGTTCATTCTACATTTAGTTTCCAAATAAAATTTCCGATGAAGAGTACAAAAATTAAAGAAAATCTAGTTGATGTTTAGTGATGGTAAATAGAGTTGTAAATAGTTTTTTTTAAAAAAACTACTCTTGTTATTACAAATTCTTTTTTCTTGTGGAACAGTGTTTTGAAGAGAATTTTTTTTAAAACGTGTATACATTTTTTAAAAATATATTTCAGATTACAATTTCAAGGCGGTATGCCGTGTCACTTTTGGCAGTTGGGAAGAAAAGCGTACCTTTAGCAGTGTTTGTGATATACATTGGATTTGTGACTTTTGCATTATTTAATTATCGAAGTCACTGTTTATTTACTGAGCCAACTACACTTATTAAATACCACTTACTTGAACAAGAAGAGGCAGATAAATTGTGTAGAATTCCTTGGGATTCTCTAGGTACAAATAATATACTTCTTGTACTAGTGTTTACACTAAGCTATTCAGGGTACCCAAAGTTAACAATCAGTGAGTTAAGTCACAATGCTGATAATGAATTGGAATTATCAGATATATTTGTTTCATTAATTAAACAGAATTAGCCCCTTCATGGTAACTGCGGTACTACTCTTTTGCAGGGCAAAATAATAATGGCGAAGTTTTTATTGAGAGATAATTAAATGACATATATTTAACAATTACTTTTACATCATATTTCACCAAACTATATCATTTTGCCCTACAAAAGAGCAGTACTGCAGTTTCTGTGAAACAGTCTATGTTTCAAGTGTAATTATGCTTTATACTAGACAAGTTACTTCTTTATGTTGATCACATGTTGAATTTGTCATTGGTTTTTAATTTTGTCAAGAATTAAGTTACAAAAACTATTGGATCTTATTTTTTCAGGAGTTGAAGATGTTGACATTTTTCATGATCATGATTTAACCTCAATAAAACATCAGAACCCACTTGTACAGAAAGGAGGGGTGGGGAAGCCAGAGGGATGCTTATCATACCAGAAAGTGGCCATTATTGTTCCATACAGAAACAGATATTTTCATTTAAAGTTATTGCTCTCTAGACTTCATCCCATGCTGAGGAAGCAGAAAATTCATTATAAAATATTTGTCATAGAACAGGTGTGTACAATATGCCTTTTTACTCTTTCATATGGTTAATTTCCAAGGGTTTCTCTTCAGACATTTTCTGACATTGTCCAGTATTGGCTCTGTATAAGTCATACTCTTCAAATTGCAAAGAGTATGAATTTGATAATTTGGTGGAAAATTTTTTGGTGAAAATTTTACTTTTGAGTTGAATTCAAACTTTTTTGCTTGGTGATTTACATATACCTACAGTACATATGCATGATATTCCTCACATTGGTTGTAGGCTACAAATGACAGTTTTAACAGAGGGAAGCTGATGAATGTAGGATTTAAAGAGGCACTTAAGGAGGAGCAGTATGATTGCTTTGTCTTCCATGATGTAGACATGATTCCTGAAAATAATAAAAACCTATACATTTGTGACGATCATGCCAGACATTTATCATCTGCCATTGATGAAATGCGATATCAGTATGTATTTTAATTGTTAAAACTTTCCCCCTTTATAACCAATGAAATACCAAGGTAGCCATTTTGATAACTTTATACAAAGTTAAAAACTTGTGGCTCATGTATGCTAAAAAAAATGTGGTAAAATTATAAATGGATGGGGAATTCATATAATTGATCATAAAGTCAAGGCAGCAGAGTGGTTCGTGAATGTTGCACAATTAGAATTTTATTTTTTAAAAAACATTGAAAAAAATCTTAAGTCAAAGATACCTATACATGCTTTAAATTTTTATGTAATCAGATTGAAAAAATTCCAAATTCCTATACTTTTCAGTGTGATGTACTATAATTATGCTGGAGGTGTTATTGCCATGAAGAAGGATGTTTTTAAAGTCATCAATGGCTATGCCAATTCTTACTGGGGATGGGGAAATGAAGATGATGACCTCTCAGCAAGGTAGCTAGATCAGAAAGTTTACTGAATTACTGTTCAGTTACTCATAATCAGTAGAGTGCAAATACTGTAACAAAATTAGGGGAGGAAAAAAATTCGATATAAGCAGGCAAACCTTTAGGTTTTTTGATGTAGTGCACAATTCTAGGAAAATCGATTCATCTTTTCCATTCAATGTCCAAGGACAAAATTGGTATTAAAAAGCATAATTAAAAAGTTTATACATGTACTGTTATTTAGTATGTAGTCTCATCTTTTTTGAAGATTAATTATTATAGTAAGATTGCTTATCAATTTATGAAAAGTTTAACCATAATCTGTTTTTCAGAATACAAGAAGCAGGATATTTATTAACAAGACCTCCAGAACATATAGGAAGATATAAAATGGTGCGGCACAAAAAGGAATCTAGATCAGAAAATGGGTACATACTAAAAACATGAAACAATTCTAAAGATTTGCACAGTTGCTAAATCCTTCAATTTTAATGAAAATCTCAAAATATTTTTGATAATTTCTCTCTAATATTATACAGTTATGGAATGGGTATGAGGGAAATAGAAATTTATGGTTCCCCAAGGAAGGAAATAGTTTTCTACTGAGGGGAACCATAAATTTGCTATTTCCCAAGTACCCATTCCATAACTGTTTTATTATACCGAAAACAACACAGAAGATTTATTAACTAGAGACTTAGACATTTTTAAAACAATATAGAGGCATTTATTTAAATAATTACAAATGCATGTGATTCCAATTTTGTTAAATATATAATGCATCAATATGAAAAAAATGAAGTTATTTAAAAAATAAAAAATAATTAATTTCACTGACATTCTGAAGGATTATCGTTGTCTTCATTTTGCTAAGAAATTCCAGTATGATTTTGACATCGCATGTCGAAATGCTTTGACGTCATAGTTACATTGCTAATAACATTAGGTCACAGACTCGAGATTCCTTCCGCCCACTGTTCATTTTAATTGGTTAAAATTATTAATAAATATTCATTAGGGAGTAGTCCCAGGGAGTAGCTCTGGTTTTTCAGGGAGTAGTCCACAGATGGGGGAAAAAGTATCTTCTCGGGGAAATAGACAAGATTTATGGTATTAATTTTTTATAGAGTAATAACAGTAGAGGTATGATAAAACATTTTATACAGCTCACTTCTCTATTTTTCATATATATATAAAAAAAATGTTAACAATTTCTGAAGTAATAAAAATTTGTCATGAATACACATATTTTGATATAACACTGATTTGTAGATATGAGCGTTTTCTGGGTTGGAGAGGCAGATGGCTACAAGACGGGCTCCACAGCCCTAAAACGATGACGTACAAAGTACTCAGTAAATCCCAGGAGCCTCTGTACACCAACATCACCGTCAATCTCCTGTACGATAAAAACAAAGAGATCAATGTCGCAGAGGACACAACGAAGGAGTCACTGTGGTGGTATGGTCTAAATATTAATGTCATTGCTGTCATCATGAGCTTTTCTGATCACATTTTGTCTGGTGTCCGTCTGTCTGTCCGTCTGTCTGTAAACTTTTCAAATTTTCGACTTCTTCTCAAGAACCACTGGGCCAATTTCAACCAAACTTTCCACAAAGTATCCTTGGGTAAAGGGGATTCAAGTTTGTTCAAATGAAGGGCCATGCCCTCTTTCAAGGGGAGATAATTAGGAATTAGTGAAAAAATAATGGCATCATTTAAAAATCTTCTTCTCAAGAACCATAGGGCCAGGAAAGATGAAACTCATGTGGAAGCATCCTCAGGAAGTGTAGATTCAAGTTTGATCAAAACATGACCCCCGGGGGTAGGACGGGGCCACAATGGAGGATCAAAGTTTTACATAGAAATATATAGGAAAAATCTTTAAAAATCTTCTTCTCAAGAACAGCAAAGCCATGACGAGTCATATTTACATGGAAGCATCCTCAGGTAGTGTATATTCAAGTTTGTTCAAACCATGACCCCCGGGGGGTAGGGCGGGGCCACAATGGAGGATCAAAGTTTTACATAGAAATATATAGGGAAAATCTTTAAAAATCTTCTTCTCAAGAACAGCAAAGCCATGATGAGTCATAGTTATATGAAAGCATCCTCAGGTAGTGTAGATTCAAGTTTGTTCAAATCATGACCACCGGGGGTAGGGCGGGGCCGCAATGGACTATCAAAGTTGTACATAGAAATATATAGGATAAATCTTCTTCTCAGGAACAACAAAACCCAGATTGTTCATATTTATATGGAAGCATCCACAGGTAGTGTAGATTCAAATTTACTCAAATCATGGCCCCCAGGGGTAGGGTGGGGCCACAATGGAGGTTCAAAGTTTTACATAGAAATGTATAGGAAAAATTTTAAAAATCTTCTTCTCAGGAACAGTAAAGCCCTGATTGATCATATTTATGTGGAAGCATCCTCAGGTAGTGTAGATTCTATTTTGTTCAAATCATGACCCCTGTGGGTAGTATGGGGCCACAATGGAGGATCAAAGTCTTAAATAGAAATATATAGGAAAATATCTTGTTCTGAAGAGCTGCAAACCATGATTAGTCATTTTGATATGGAAGCATCCTCAGGTAGTGTAGATTCAGTTTTGTTCAAATGATGACCCCCAGGGGTTGGTTGGGGTCCATTGGGGGATAGAAAGTTTTACATAAGAACATATAGAAAAAATATTTCTTCTCAAGAACAGGAAAGCTATGTTTAGCCATATTGATATGGAAGCACCCTCAGGGTAATCTTTTCAATACTGAACTGACTTGTGCTTTTGCCTAGCCAATGTGCTCAGGTGAGCAATGTGGCCCATGGGCCTCTTGTTAAATACTTTTATTATACATAAGCAAATCAACTTAACAGTTTTTAAAGTAAAATAAACAGTAACATTGGATGTATTGCCATACTATAATCCCTGCAAGCCAATTTCTAATGACTGTACTCTGGCCCCCCAAAACAAACTATTTGGTAGAGCTGCTATAAAGATAAATATACCCCAAAAAAGTCTTAAAAGTCATCTGTGATAATATACATCATTAACTGAAACATGTACATGTATATGTAAGCTTATCTTCCCAACTGACTGCTGAGATGCCTTAGTAATTTTTACTTTTGATATAAGTTAACTATTGAATGTGATTTTTAGCTCTACTGGTCAGAGACCAGAAGAGCTTATGTGATAGTAAGTGTCTGTCGTCCATCTGTCTGTTTAGCTGTCCATCTGTCTGTCCAATTGTTCAAAATGCTACTCCTCCTATAGTTTTGGTCTGATTTCAATATAAATTGGCACACAACTAGACTACACTAAGATACATGATTCAGTGCACCAGTTTTTGATTTCAATGAGCAGTGTTGCCATGGCTACTAAAATTAGAAATTTCTTTGAAAATCCTTTAAAATGCTACTACTCCTAAAGCTGCAATAATGTAGCTCTCTCTGATTTTTAGATCACCTGAGTAAACTCAGGTGACCTATTGTTATCTGTTTTCGTCCGTCATTGTGCATTGTGGGATGTGAGTAATCATTCGAACATTTTCATCTTCTTTTCTGAAACCGATCAACCAATTTCAACCAATTTTGGCATATAGCATCTATGGGTGAAGGGAAATAAAAATTTTGAAATTCATGGTCCCTGCCCCCCCCTGGGGCCTGAGGGATGGGGCCAAAACCACTAAAATTAATGCAATCTTTAAAAATCTTCTTTACTCCTGGACATCAAGCAGTCAAACTGTTGGCATGATTGTAATAAGCATTGAGCCCTCTACCAAAATTGTGAAATTCATGGCCCCAGGGGCAGGGGTTCTGGTGCTAGGGTGGGGCTCTGTTGAATATATAGTGAAAATGCATTATTTCTTAAAAATCTTCTCCTCTTCTCCTGGGTATTATGCAAACAAACTAAATGCCTAGTTATGATGAGTAAGGTTGCCTCTTCCAAAATTGTGAATTTCATGGCCCCTGGCTCAAGGGTTCTGGTGTTAGGGCGGGGCTCTAATGATTATATAGTGAAAATGCATTAATTCTTTGAAAATCTTCTCCTCTGCTCCTGGGCATTAAAGTAATAAACTAAATACATAGTTATGATGAGGAAGGGGTCCTCTTCCAAAATTGTGAATTTCATGGCCCCTGGGTCAGGGGTTCAGGTGTTAGGATGGGACTCTATTGATTATATAGAGAAAATGCATTAATTCTTTGAAAATCGTCTTCTCTGCTCCTGGGTATTAAACAAACTAACTGAGTACATAGTTATGATGTGCAAGGATGACTCTTCCAAAATTGTGAATTTCATGGCCCCTTGGTAAGGGGTTCTGGTGTTAAGGTTGGGCTCTATTGATTAATATATATAAGGAAAATGCATTTATTTAATTCTTTGAAAATCTTCTTCTTTGCTACTGGAGATTATTTAAACATACTAAGTGCATGATTATGATAGGCAAGGATGCCTCTTCCAAAATTTTGAAATGTATGGCCTCAGGGTTGGGGGTTCTTGTGGAGGGGGGGGGGGGGGGCTCTATTGATTATATAGTGAAAAAGCATTAATTCTATTAATTAATCATTAACTAATTCTGTCTTCTCCTTAGTGTTGAGCTGATAAATAAATTGCATAGCTATGATGAAAAAGGGAGCTGTCATTTCGTGCATTTTAAAATCTTCCAAGACTTGTATCGAAAATCTGTCAAATCACTGGACTGTTACACAATGTACTTTTTCACAGGCTTTGAATTGTGCAGTGGTTTTAGAGCATTTCGCTTTTAAGTCTCGAAATAAGGAACTATTTCTAAGCTGCAAGTTCAAATCCCAATGCGGGACATTGAGACCGGTTCTTCGAATGAGACCATAAAAACTTTGGTCCAGTGTCACAGTAGATACTGGCACAAAAATATCCCTCAATGCTCAGTGGCCTAAAGTCTAAATTTGGAGCCCTTCACCAGACAATTGTTTAAATAAATGTTGTCCCAATAATTATCAAAGGAGTTCAAATCAAAGAAACAACCAATCTTCAAGGGTCTTATTAAAGAAAAATACACGGATGTCTCAGGAAGCTTGTATCATAATTTCAAATCCATTTGGAAAAAGTATGTTGACCATATTTTATTGAGACAATCCTTATCTAAAAACGATAAAATGTCATACACAATGTCAAAGGCATGAAGTTTAACCCATGAATAAAAGGCATGAAGAAAGGGCGTTTGAATTCTATTCATTAGGATGAAATATGCAGAATTATTTATAACTCTTATGGTCCCATATACATGTAGTAAACATAGGAATATTGATGAACTGTTTATAAGATCAAAACTCAAATTAAATAAAATGCAGTAAACTTGATTTGGTTTGTTCACAAGGTGGGCCCCTTGTCTGCTCATGAAGGTATCATGAGGAGGGCCTATGGGCCTAAGCATGCTCTCTACATACTTAATTTTAAGACAGGTTGGTAAATAGTGTATAACCGAAACACGCTTACTAGGTCATTGTATATTTTATTTTATTAACAAAGTGTTTCAGTAGTGTAGGATTCTTATATGCTAAAGGCATAAGGTTGATACGTCGTCTTTCTTTTAAAACATGAACTAACCCTCTGTGACTGAGGCATGTTTTGGGCAGGCACCATTTTGTTTCCAACAAATGCTTGAAAATCACGGAACAAAATCAGTCATTCTGATAAAAACGGATTTTGATGGAATTCTATTTTATAAAAGTTGACAAACTTTAAAAAAAATATATTGGAATAATCTTATGTAAAAAACTTTCCAGTCGGCGCGTTTTAATTGGGTTGGTCATGTTAGGGGAAACAAACATATTTTTTATTTTGGCCTGAAGTATGCAACAGTATTGATATGTTGAAAAATAACAAGGCCTGTGGCGATGATAGAATCTTTATATTAAAATACATGTGACTGCAATGCATGTTGAATTTATACACTGAATTATTCAACAAAATTTTTGATTCTGGTGTAATACCCACTTAGTTTGCTTGTGGAAACATTATCCCAGTACACAAAAATAAAGTTAAGGGGACAATACTGAACCTAAGAATTATAGGCCTATTACACTTCCGAGTTGTCTAGGAAAATTATTTACTGCTATTATTAATAAAAGACTTAACTCATCATATGCTGATAATGTACAACTCATTTTAGAAAACCAAGCAGGCTTTTTCAGACTGAGTACAATAAATCATTTTTTAAATAGATTATTTTCTCATTATATTCTCTTGTTGAACTTTTTAAAAGGCACAAAATGAAATTGTACTGTGCATTTATAGATTTTGGGAAAGCATTTGATTCGGTTTGGCATGTTGGACTAAAGTTTTACAAAATAATATTGATAGAAAATGTTTTAAAGTAGTCCAATACTCGCACTACGTCACTAGCAATTAGTAAAACCGGAACCACACTTCTTATTTCCGAGATGTGATTTTTGAACTATATTGGTTTGACTTTTACTTGTAGTTTTAAACATCCGGTAATGATTTTGCTCTGAGTTGGCTGCGTCAACAAACTTACAAACATTGACTATTGTCGGCAGACAAGTTGAAGCTAACACTGATACATGTAGTTCACAAGGAAAGGAGTTGCTATGATTTGACAGTGACAAATTTTATTATTTCAAACATTGCAATATATATCTTGAATAATACTTATTACATTAGACGCATACCCCCTCCCCTGCGAACCCTTCACATTTAATCACAAAGCAAAATTATCTTTAGAATACTAGTATATGAAAATAGTTGATTCACTTGCAGCACACTTACTTCTTTAACCAGATCATCAAGTTTGTGAGAATCGATCAATCACGTTCTGATTCATTGTCTCTAATTTACTGACAAGTTTTTTTTTTATGTAAAACAAGATAAATTTTAGGGTCAATAGGTATTGGGTATGTATTATTATTGTTTTAAATATGTACAACTTTGTAAATACAAATGTACACTTAAACTTTAACTTTATTATAGGAATATCTTGTGGCAATATCTTACTTTTGGAAGAGAAATTTCATGGGTGTACCTTTAGTTTGAGTCAGAGCCCATATCATGAAAAGTAATGCGTCAACATATAATTTTTTTTAGCGTGTTCTTTTTCTAAATGTTATTTAGTAGAAAGAAAGCAAATTTTTGAAGATTGAGTCCATAAAAATATTAAAAAATGACTGAAATCGACCTGTGAAGCATATTTTCTCGTACTAAATTTTGATATATTAGCCTAACAACGTGCAAATATTTAAAATAATTCACACAAAACAATGTTTTAATATGGTTCCTTAACATTTTTCTATTCTATTTTGTGTATTAAAGTTGACTGTTTAGATTTTAATTCTTATACATGTATATAGACAAATTCATGGACAGGTACATTTTCAGTATTTTGCGTTTCAAGGTATATAGTCTGAGAGGCAATAGCAGAAAAATAAATATGTTGACATATAATTTTTTTTATGTTTTTCCATTGCTGGGATATATGTCTATCTTATAAAAGCAGATTTTTCAAGATTGAGCCCATGTAATTGACACCATGATTGAGCATTCCAGGTCCGAGTATAGAACTACCTTAAGATTATAACTAACATGTATAAAGGTATCAAATCAAAGGTAGTAGTTAATGGAATAAGTTCAGAAATGTTTGAATGTATTATTGGAGTTCTATAAGGAGAGAATTTGTCACCTTTTTTATTTTCATTGTACTTAAATGACCTTGAGGAATTTTTATCTAGTAACAATTAAAGTGCAGACTTTATCTTGTTTGTCAGAAAAACTCAAGAGAAAACTAATTAATGTCTACTTAAAGCTTTTTGTTTTATTATGTGCAGATGATACTATCTTGTTGTCAGAAAATTCAGAGGATTTTCAGTATATGCTGAATACTTTTTCTAAATATTGCAAAAAGTGGCACCTTAAGGTCAATAGTAAGGAAATAAAAGTTGTAATATTTGGTAGAGGTAAAAATAATAGCTCGATCTTTTACATTTGAAGGCTGCCAATTTGATATAGTTGATAACTTTAAATATTTAGGTGTTACATTTTGTAAAAGTAAATCTTTAGTTTAAATACCAATGAAAGAATTATATGACAAAGCAACCAAAGCAATATAGTGTTATTGGAAGATTTAGAAAACATAATTTAGCAATTGATTGTAAATTAGACATGTTTGATAAAATTGTCTAACCAATACTCCTATATCAGGATGCAAAATTTGGGGTTTTCACAATATTTATAAATTAATAGAGAAGTTACACATAAAATTTTGTAAACATATTTTGAGCTTCAAAACATCAACACCGAACTTTATGGTGTATGGAGGACTTGTAGACATCCTTTAATAATTGATATCAAAGTAAAATAGAATGAATTCATTTTGGGGTAAACTCATTAATGCTCAGAGCTATAAATTGTCTGCAAAACTTTTATCTGCATTGAAAATATTTAAGAATCCATGGTGTGAATTGTTCAGAAAATTTTAAATGAATGTGGATTGACTCTTGTGGTATGAAAATTCAATTAATATATCTTGGCTAAAAAAATAATGTATATATATATATCACTCTTTTAAATCAGTTTAAGCAAAGATGGTTTAGAAATCTACATACATCCACTAAAGGTTTGAACTATAGAATTTTTAAAAAATAATTAATCTTTGAAGACTATTTGTTGAATTTGCCTCCAAAACAATCCAAGAAATATTGTTTTTAGCTCACCTCGACGAAGTCGAAATGAACTTATGCTATACCCCCAGCGTTGACGTCCTGGTTTAAGTTTTAGGAGAAAGTCCATTCCCAAGTAACTATAAGCCCTACCTGGACCAAACTTGCATGGAAGATGCATCTAGGGATGGGCAATACCACACTTGCTTCAGATGCTGGATCTGACCTAGATTTCCATATGAATGACCAGGTTAAAGTTTTTGGAGCAGGTCCATTCCCAAGTAACTATTAGCCCAACTTGGACCAAACTTGCTTGGAAGATGCATCTAGGGATGGGCAATACCACACTTGCTTCAGATGCTGGATCTGACCTAGATTTCCAGATGAATGACCAGGTTAAAGTTTTTGGAGCAGGTCCATTCCCAAGTAACTATTAGCCCTACTTGGACCAAACTTGCTTGGAAGATGCATCTAGGGATGGGCAATACCACACTTGCTTCAGATGCTGGATCTGACCTAGATTTCCAGATGAATAACCAGGTTAAAGTTTTTGGAGCAGGTCCATTCCCAAGTAACTATTAGCCCTACCTGGACCAAACTTGCATGGATGATGCATCTAAGAATGGATACTACCATGCTTGCTTTGGCTGCTGGATATGACTTAAATTTTCCAGATGAGTGACCAGGTTAAAGTTTTTGGAGCACGTCCATTGCCAGGTAACTATAATTAAGCCCTACCTTGACCAAACTTGCATGGATGATGCATCTAGGGATGGACAGTACCACACTTGCTTCAGATGCTGGATCTGACCTAGATTTCCAGATGAATGACCAGGTTAATGTTTTTGGAGCAGGTCCATTCCCAAGTAACTATTAGCCCTACCTGGACCAAACTTGCATGGATGATGCATCTAAGAATGGACACTATCACACTTGCTTTGGCTGCGGGATATGACTTAGATTTTCCAGATGAGTGACCAGGTTAAAGTTTTTGGAGCAGGTCCATTCCCAAGTAACTATTAGCCCTACCTGGACCAAACTTGCATGGATGATGCATCTAAGAATGGACACTACCACACTTGCTTTGGCTGCGGGATATGACTTAGATTTTCCAGATGAGTGACCAGGTTAAAGTTTTTGGAGCAGGTCCATACCCAAGTAACTATTGGCATTACCTTGACCAAACTTGCATGGATGATACATATAGGGATGGACATTACCACACTTAATTCGGATGCTGGATCTGACCTACATTTTCCAGTTGAGTGACCACTGGTTATAGTTTTTAGAGCAGGTCCATTGCCAAGTAACTATAAGCCCTATCTTGACAAAACTTGCATGGATGATGCATCTAGGGATGGACACTACCACAATTGCTACGGATGCTGGATCTGACCTAGATTTCCAGATGAGTGACCAGGTTAAAGTTTTTGCAGCAGGACTATTCCCAAGTAAATATTAGCCCTACCTTGAATAAACTTGCATGGATGATGCATGTAGGGATGGACACTACCACACTTGCTTCGGATGCTGGATTTGACCTACATTTTCCAGATGAGTGACCAGGTTAAAGTATTTGGAGCAGGTCCATTCCCAAGTAACTATTAGCTCTACCTTGAGCAAACTTGCATGGATGATCCATCTTAGGATGGACACTACCACACTTTCTTCTGATGCTGGATCTGACCAAGATATTCCAGATGAGTGACCAGGTTAAAGTTTTTGGAGTACATCCATTCTCAAGTAATTATAAGCCCTACCTTGACCAAACTTGCATGGATGATGCATCTTGGGATGTACGCTAACCAACCTGCTTCGGATGCTGGATTTGACCTAGATTTCCACATGAGTGAATTTTAGCCATATTTTAACCAAATTAGCATGGATGATGTAGCTAGGGATGGTCACTTCCAGACTTGCTTTGGATTCTAAATCTGACCTACATTTTCCAGATGAGTGACCCGAAGAATTTTTTTTGAGTAGCTATATAACATTATGGCCTGTTATGATTAAACTTGCATAGATGGTGCATCTAAGGATGAAAACTTCCAGACTTATTTTGGATGTTATAACTGACCAAAATTTTCTTGATTAGTAAACAGGATAAACGTTTCTTGAACAGGCCTATTTCCAAGTAACTATAAGTCGTACTTAAACCAAACTTGCATGGATATTGATCTTGGGATGTACACTAACTAAAAAAAAGAATATGATGTGAAATTTGCCTTACTTAAAGATAACATTCATTGAGGTGAGCTTCGTAATCTGTCATAACCTATGTTTTAGAACTGGGAATACAAAATTACCTATTGAGACTGGTAGATAGTTTAACATCCCCAGAGAAAATAGAATTTGTAAATTATGTAACTGCAATGAAATTGGGGATGAATTTTATTACTTATTTAAATGTACTGACGTGTCTATAAAGAACTCAAGACTTATGTATTTGTCAACATATTTTCAATCGAATCCAAATGTTTTGAAATTTGAAATGCTTTTTAATGTAACAAATATTAATCAACTTAGCAAAATTTGTAAATTGGTAGATATTATAATTGAGAGAGTTGGCTCTCTTGGTTGATACATTTGTATTACTCTCTGTTATCCTTTCTTCATGCATGTAATATTTTCTGTTTAATATACATGTATTGTACATATCTTCTCTTCACTGCTTTGTCAGTTAATATGAGAATAAAGTTCATGTTTTGTTGGTCCCTGTCATGCATGAAAAATTCTACTATAAATTTAAGTCATAAAAATCTTGAAAGCACCATTTCTTATGTCATTAGTGTTACTTCTATAGATGTTTTGATTAAAGTAAGTAAAAAAATAAATCAAAAAAAAATTTGCCTACCTACCTACCCTAATTTTTTTCAGCCTGAAAGTGGAAACAAACATTTTTTCTAGGCCAATGATGTTGCCATATTTTCTAAAAATAGAATTTTCTTTGAAATGCTTTCAAATTGCTACTTCTCCTACAGTTTTTATCTGACTTCAATATAACTTTGCACACATGCAGACTACACTGAGATACATAAGTCTCACTGTCTGCTTATTGGTTTTTGGCAGTCTTGCCATGTTACTTAAAAAAAGAAATTTTGGTGAAATTCTTTCAAAAGGCTACTTCTTTAACAGTTTTAGTCTGATTGCAATAAATCTTGCAACAAAGAGACTAAACCAAGGACCTTT